TCAGCGGCCAGCGGTCTTCTTGCAAGTGCGAGTCTCCACAAACACTCCTTGCGGCCAGGCTGCAGGAGGGAAGCAAGGAGGCTGGAGTGAGCTCTTGCCATTGTTCCACGCTTTGTACCTGAACCTATGCCTTACCACGTTTTGCCTGTGAGCCAAACTGCCAGTGGATCTCAACGGTACGAATGTCATGGTTCCTTCAGAGCAAGGATGAAAAAATTGTCAACTGACAACTATCCGCCGCTGCCTTCTTGAAGGCACATTGAGCTTTACATGGGACTGCTACCAGACCCAACTTGTTGCTGCTTTCCACTGTGCTTGTTGGCTTGCGTCGGTGGAGGAAAGGAACTGAGGTATGCAAGGAGGAAAAGCAGAATTTGCTGAGAATGCACAGCAGGCACGAGAAAGCGAAACTCTCAGATAACCCGTTGCAAATTTCTGGTCGCAGCACTCGACTTCAGGCTCTGACCATCGAGGAAAAAGCTGGAAGTCTACGCTAGCGGAGACTTGCAGAACCGCGTGCTCAGATGATCTTCCTCGGATTCGGCAGCTGGGCTTGGCCAGCGTAAAAGGCAGCAGACACAAGGTTCTTATTTTCAAGTTCCACAGGACCTACGCCGTTGACTGCTTAAGGTGCAAGTGGCGTCCGAATCTGGGTGCCTAACGATTACGGCTCGCTACCAACTGCCGAACACAGAACACTCAAGTCCTATGCAAAGACCCCGGATTTCAAGAAACCTCAAATCTGGCCAAGTGACAGCTTGGTCAGGGCCAGGTAAGAGCCGAAGGCAAAGGCGGTCAGGAAGGTGGTAAGGCCGAAGTAGCCAATGACCATGAAGGGCGTGAACTCACCTGCAATTTTGAAGTCACTCTAGAACACACAGACGAGCAGGCCAGAAACCCACCTGTGAAGTTGTAGTTCAGGTACTCATCCTTCGCGGCTTCCGCGGCAGAGGCCACAGCGGGTGCGGCAGCGATGCTGGCGGCTGCGGCCATGCCGCGCAGCGATGGGGACTGAGGCTGAGGAGCCGGCACGAANNGCCTGGCAGGCTTAAGGCAAAAGGAACTGCAAGGCATCTGCATCGGCATCCGCAAGGCATTTGCAAGGCATTTGCAAGGCAGCTGGCATCGACGCCTGCATCGATACCATGGTCACAGCCATCAGCCTCAGCGGCCAGCGGTCTTCTTGCAAATGCGAGTCTCCACAAACACTTCTTGCGGCCGGGCTGCAGGAGGGAAGCAAGGAGGCTGGAGTGAGCTCTTGCCATTGTTCCACGCTTTGTACCTGAACCTATGCCTTACCACGTTTTGCCTGTGAGCCAAACTGCCAGTGGATCTCAACGGGTCATATGACCTCGCAGCAGGGTCAACGTCACGCAGGAAAAGCTAGTCGGCGTGACAAGGTCGTAGATCGTCACAGCTGCATATCTTGGACTTGCGAATGCAGCAGAAAATAAGTCTGAACTTTCATACCCCCATAGTTGCAAACCTTTACAAGCCCATGATGTCACTTGAGGCGACTTTTTGGGCTCATGCAAGTTCGACATATCCACATCCTTTGCGATCTTCTTGTCGTAGCGTCTGCTATGTTGAGTTTTCAGAGCACGGCCACTCACAAAACGAGCCAGTCGTGTACAAGGCCCCGGTCTTGCAGACTGTCAGATTGCGTTCCTCGGATCTAACATGCACTGTCAAAGTCCAATTGAAAAATGCTAGCAATGACAACATATCAAGCAATAGCACTAGCCCTCAAGTGGGCCTCCGCCTCCTTGCAAGTCGGCCAAGACACGGCTTGGGAAGGAGCTGGTCCGAGCGTCTGAAAGATGGCACGTTAAAAGAAGTTCACGTGCAGGAAGGCGGCCTTTCACCTACCAGTACGGAGCACAGCCAGCAGAAATGCAAGAAATCTGTCATGCCGACAGAACGGACACATGCTCACGCACAAGATGAGCCTCTGAGGGCTGGTGCTTCCAGAAGTTGCTGGACGAATCAGCGGACGCAGCCGGTGCCAGTTCGCTGTGTCAACTGCCTCAATAATAGACAGTGAGGAGTTATTGCCCAAACCCTTAAGGGATCAAAAAAGGAAACCCCTCAAATGAGCCCCAGCTATGTGGAAGCCATTCCCAGGATCTTGAATCCTAGACGCTGACGGCATAACCGCTGATGGGTCCGGGTAGGTACAATTAGACCAACTGCCACCCTGCACATATAGCAACAACAGCAACAATATGAACTATAATAAGAGGCATAATCATCAGAATAGAAGAAGAATAAAAATGACCTGAACGAAAGCCAAAATGCTCAAGCCGAGTCGAGTTAGAGCTCGAGCTCTATTATCCTCCTTAAAATCTGTATGGAGACCTCCTCAAGACTGGCTAAGTATAGCTCACATATTGAGCGAAATATACAAGTTGTGTCCTCCCTGGTGCTTTGCCGTTCTATGAGTCGATCCTATCTACTTGAGGATGCATACTACATTCCACTTTAATTTCACGGCGCCCACGTATCCCCAAGTTTCCATGCCATTGTCCCTCCACTATCCCTAACCCTGAACCCCAGATAGCCCTATATAATTGGTACATAACCCCTGTATTACCGACATAACCCTGAGAGTAATATAGAGTCGGCTGACCGGCGTGCGGCGGCTGAGCAGGTATCAACATACCAGGTTCGCGGTCAGCCACCTTCCGCTTTCGCAGAATCATTACTATTATACTTTTATTATGAACTGTTTATTCTTATTAAGATTAGCTGTTATTACAAGTACCCGCCGAGGCCGGAGGCTTGGGGCATTTAGATCCAGGTCCGGAGGCTAGGAGAGTAAGTTAACCCTCCCCCTACTCCCAGCGTGCACGATTGGATGGGCTCTTTTTTTTAAGTTTCTAGGTGGTCGCCTGGGTCCTGCACAGGCTGGTGTGGGGCCGCAACGCATGGTCCCCTAAGCACCGGGATGTGAGGGGGGGGTGGGGTTGGAGGGGGGTGGGGGAGAGGGATTTGGGGGGCATGGGTTGGGGGGGAAGGGTGGTCGTTGGGAGGGGGGTGGCAGGGACGGCAAGAGCTGCGGTGCAGGTAAAGCATATTACTATTACTATTACTATGGGTGTTGAGTTTAGGTTTCAGGGGCCTGAATACGCCAAAGATATGCATAAAATGGAAAAGCAAACGGAAAAAAATGTGACTTCACGGGGACTTGGGACCGGGGCTTAGGGACTCAAAGCCATGGGCACTGTTCTGGAGTATCGACATCACATTTTTAAAGCAGACGGGGAAGGAAAAAAAGCATCAAGCGACTCCCACCTGCCTGCATTCCAAATTCTTGGCAGTCGCCCCTAAACCCTAAACCCCTAACATTGGCACACTTTTCAAACTAGAGAGCTCCAGGCCTTCAATACTCAGGGACGCCCTGGACACTGAGACTGCCAGGCCCACACAGAGACCCCTGTTACATCCTAGAACCCTGCCCTGGAAGCCTTCAACGTCTCTGCTCGATGGCTTCCAGCATGAAGACTTGGTTGGGAAGTAAAGGATTTAGGGGCTCAAGGATTAAGGTTTGGAGTGTGGGGAGAAAGGGGTATTTTTGGGGCAAACAGAACTTCACCTAACTTCTGCATTTTGGTCAGAGCAGGAGACCTGGCAATTTCGTGTGTCCTTTAAAAAAGCAAAGTGGTGTGCAAGCTTGTGAATAGAAAAGTTTCTGGCGCATGTACCCAACCAGGACCCGTAATCTTCAAACACCCACCCTTCACTCAAGGAGCCAGATGTTGGGAAGTTTATCTTACAGAGAACCCAGAAACACACCACACACTTGACAACCCCCTTTTTTGCATTTGAATTCCAAGGCCATCTGGAAAGACCATCATGTCAACAAGCCAGTGGGCATCTACATGTCAACAAGCATCTGCATCACAGGCATGATTCTTTTGCCACCTATCACATTTAAGCTTTCTGTAAAATACTATACCCAAAAGCTGGGTATCATCTTACCCTATATTGGGTACGCTAGTATCCACAAACTAACTACCACTCATTTTACATGTCTGCCCAAGCAGAATGCCAGGCTGGCAAGTCACTCATTGCGGTCTGCATTCTTCTTCATCATGAAGTACAGGCGTGCCTGTTGGGAACACGTGAATTTTCTGAAGATCTCGCGTTTTGCCCCCCTGCATACTACCTCAACACGTTGCTCTTTTCGCAGATCGTAGGGATGGCAAAAGGGGTTTCGCTATTGTGAGACCAGGTCAAAACACAACATCACCTCTTCTTAATAGGAAAGGAAGAAAAATGATTTGCCAAAAAAAAATCGTGATGGTCCCAGTAGCCATTCCCATGACCCATTCCTTCATTCCCACTTACAGACAAATCACCGCTGAGGCATCCACCTCTGTGCCAGCATCCTTTCTCCACTCGGCATCCATCAGCAGAAGGCCAAACTCCAGGGATCCAAGTGGCATGGCGTCAAGAATGCAAGCACCCACCAGAATGCAGGAATCAGGAACCAACCTGCAAGAAGCACAGACTTCTGCCAACTTCTTCAGCTGCATTTTACCAATCTTCCACAGAAAGACATGAGTGGTGACCCTCCCATGCAGTGCCCTGTTTTACTGCAGATGCTGTGATTGTGTCTTGTGATGCCATAATGATTCGTTCTGAGAGAACGTGTGGACCTTGTCATGCGGAGCTTGGGTTGCATGAGTCTTAGCACAATCCAAAGCTCTCATCGCGAAACTGATGCTATTAAGAGCCATACTATGCCATACAAGGCTGAAGCAACACCTCCCAACCGACCGCCAGAATGCCCAAACCACACAGCCAACCTGACAGTCGCATGCCCAAACGGCAGCCACGATCATCCAATCGTTATGGTTTGTGTTATGAGCATTGTGACTAACTCCTATAGTTACTATAGTTATCATCCTCATGAACATGGCGTTTTCTGCTTGGGTTCAGTTGACGGCTCGACTTTGCCGAGCCTGCCATACTAGGCTTCCTGAAGACCGTCACTGCGACATTGATCGCCTGACATTAACATTCGGCCTCCAAGAATCACTTATATTATAATGGGTTATATAAGGGGTATATTGGGATAATGGACAAGAAAA